AGACCACGGCCACACAGCCCGGAAGACCCACACCAGCCATCGTATGCTGGCTGTGAAAGCCTTCGACAATACACAGAGGACTAAATTATCTGGCAGTGCTCCCTTGGGTAACATTTACTCCACGTCACTCAGCAGAGTTCTGATGAAACTTTCCTTCTTGTGGCTTCTGCCTCTCATTCTGCCCTGTCTGCTGGTGCTTCGGAGCTTTTTTTTTTAAACTATGAAACCTTTTTTTAAAAAAAGAGTGTAAACTGATAATTAAAGCTATCCACAGTGCAGAATAAGAACTGACTAATCATGGGGCAATCGATTACCTAGAATCATCTGTGTTGCAGCCCTTCTGAACAGGAAGCACATGAAGGGGGCTTCTGAGGAAAAGGGCAGGAGCCCCCCTGCCAGGAGACAGGCTGAAGCTGATGTTGCAGCAGTCCCTGTGGGAACAACCCCAGTAACGTTTTTGCCTTTTATTTTCCTTCCTGAATTTTCCCATTTCCTCTGTCTGCGGTTGCTGTGGTATGTGTGTTTAGTACCTCAAATCTCTGCCTGGGTCAAAACCTGTGATTCTGAAAACTATATGCCACGTTTTCTGGGGAGGTAAGGGGCCAAGCCCCCCCCCCAGTCCTGTGCTGCCTCTTCCTGGGAGGGATGAGTGAAGAACGCCTGGAGCGTGTGCTCAGGGAACAGTTCGTGTGCCCAGTGGGGCCACCCGAGGCACGGAGGTCGCCCCAGCTGCCTAGCTAAAGCCAGCGGGCCCCCGTGTGGGGCAGCAGCGAGAGGAAGATGCCGGAGGCAGAGGACCCATTTCGTGGCAACGGCAAAGGCGTCCGGTCATGCTGCGCGGGAGAAGTCAATGGTAAACCACTCCTGTATTTTTACTAAGAAGGCAGCATGGATAGAAAATATGACACGACTGGCAATGTAGTGCTGGCTGATGGCCCCTCAGGTTGATGGCACTCGGCATGCTCCTGAGGAAGAGCTGAGGGTCTTTCAGAGCCCTAATGGTGTTTACGGGGCGGCCAGATCAAGGCCTTCAGGACGCCTAGCGGCTGATGTTGCCATTCAGGAAAAGAAAATCCGAAGCTGCAAAGATGGAATTACAGGAGGAACAGGGAACGTGAGAAGCACGAACGTGGGAAACCTCAACACAGCGGAAGATGAAGTGAAATGATTACAAGTGGGTGACTTAGGCACCAGCAAATTGAGATGGACTCGGATGGGACACTTTCAGTCAGGAGATCACACTGTTTATTACTCAGGACCTGAAAAACAAAGAAGGAACAGCTTTGCTTTCAAGGTCAGGATTAATATCACAGAGTTGGGTGCGGTGCAGTCAGTGACTGAGTAACATCACTAAGATTTGGCAGGTAACACTCTAATGTGATAGTAATTCAAGTTTATGCCCCAATTGCTGTTGTAGGAGAAGTGGAAGTTGACAAATTTTATGGTCAAGTTCAATCTGAAATGGACAGAACATGCAAGCAAGATGTGCTGTTTGTGGTTGGAGCCCAGAATGCCAAAGTTGGAAATAGTAAGGGGGGACTGTATGGCCTAGGAAGACAAAATGAAGCCAGGGAACTGTTTCCACCGATCCAATGATTTCTTCGCTGATCACACGTTCTTCAAGCGACACCTTTATGCGTGGACACCACCAGACAGACCACACACAGAAATCAAGTTGACTATATGATTGGAGCAAGGAGGTGGAAGAGCTCAGTTACAATGGCAAGGATGCAGCTGGGGGTCAGCAGTGAAAAAGATCACAAACTGCTCGTTGCCAATTCCAAGTCAAGCTAAAGCAGAAGGAAAAAGGCAACCAGTTTCCACAATACGAACCAGAGAAACTGTGGGATGAAAGCAAAGTTGTTAAGGACCAAGAAACAGAAGAAAGTGCACCGGGCGTCAGAACAAATGACGGAAAATGCCAAGAAGAGAAGCCAAGGCCAAGGTAAAGATTTTGGAAAGAAACTTAACAAAAATTTCAGAGAACTGTTAGAAGAGGCAAGAAGCAGTTTTACAACAACATCAGTAAAGGCATTAAAGATCGAAACGGACACAGAAAAACAAGATCCAGAAGATCTCTGAAGGAGGTTTCAACCTCAAATTGGTATGCCAAAGGATGCCAATGGCCATTAAATGATTCAAAGTAGATTAAACAAAGATGGAAGGAGTACATTGAAACGCTGTACAGTATAAGCGTCAACATCCAAGGTACCTTAGAAGATATTCCCTACTTACAAGGTCCTCTAGTGCTAGAAAATGAAGTTAGATCAGCGCTCCGGTCTTTCCGAGGCCACCTTCAGGTCCATCTCAACAGTCCAGAACCATCCCTCTGTACCAGCTTCCTCCAGTCTTCCTTTGGAGATCAGGCAATGGGCAGTCCAGCTCCCTCTTTGCCCAAAAGCCCTCCCCATGCAGGCATGTTTTTCCTCTCATGGGAACACAGGTTAACCGGTGTCCACAATTCAGAACTTCACATCTTGAATTTCCTAGGTATTCTCAGATTCACTATTAGATGTTTTCCACACTTATAATTCTGAAGAACTTTAATATTACCATTGTGCTTGCTTGAGGGAATCAGGAAAAATGTACACATTTTACAGCTTTTGGTTGACTTGTTGGCATAAGAGCAATTCTTGATCAGAAGAGAACCTTTCAGGTTCCTTTCCATCCATCCTCTTTTGCTTTCTTAGTATTGAAGTTCAGCTGGTTGTTGATTCTGATCGAAGAGTCTGAAAAACTGAGCAAATTCAGTGTGGTCTACAAAAAGTAACTGTGAAATTACAGGGACTCCCTGGAGCCAATCAGCCGTGGCCCTCCTTGGGACTTTGATGGGCAGAAGAAACCTCCCTTGAGTAGGGTAGGAGCATTTGGGGGGAGCCATGTGCTAGTACTTAGCCCCTCCTTCTGTGTTTGTTTACAGTTGCCCTGAGAGCAAAGTAGGTGACCTGAGCAGGAGGAGGAGGAGGACTCAAAAGAGGTCCCACCTCTCTTCTTTTCACTCCTAGAGGCCCAGAGGCCAGGAGATTGGCTGGGTCTCAAATTTCAGGATTCCAGCCTTCCTGTACCCAAGAGCTTCTGCACAAGACCCAGCCCTGAGATGAGACAAGATGATCAGTCATCACACAGACACACAAACCCACCTGCTCATCCCAGCCTTTGGGAGCTACTGCTGTGTTGGTGGGCAGCGCACAAGAGGACTGGATGCCACATCACATCTCCAGGTGGAAGCCAGGGGAAAGGGGTTGCTTTCATCCCTGGGCCCAAGCCTCTGTGCGGAGAACTCGTTTTGCGAGCAGCCTGTGAGGCTGGTGGTGCCTGGAAGCCCTCCAGAGGCCTGGGCTGAGCCCACTCACGGCCACAGTCCTGCTGAGCCCGTTCCCGCTGCTCCTCAAGGTGGGTGCCGAAGCTCCATAAGCCATTGATGGCCTGGGCAGGGAACATCTTACTCTTCAACAGAGGGAGTGCAACCCAGCAAGGTTGTCCTCTGCAGCCGTCTTTGACTTGACCAGTCAAAAGGCAAGAAAACAGAAGGAGCAGGAACATTGGGAGACAGTGAACAAGTACTGCTGGAGTTTTGGATTTTAAAGGAAGCTGAAGCTGAGAGTAGTGAAACACCCATCTTAGATTCCAAGGGAAAACATTTTAATAAACTTAGAGGCAATTATAAATAGGAGTCTATGACAGGAACAAATAAAAGGATTTGTGGAACTACAGGCAAGTAAACATAATGTTGGTACCTGAGAAGAATCTAGAGCAGATCATAAAGAGGTTGATTTTAAGCACCTTGAAAATAATACGATGACCAGAGGTCTTTGTGGATTTGTCAAGAAAGTCAACCTTACCTAATTTAGATCGTGTAACTTCTTTAGTGGATTGTGTGAGTGCTGTAACATAGCTTGATTTTAGCAAAGCGTTGACAAAGCATCACCAATATTCTGCTTAGCACGCTGGTTAAGGATGAGCTAGGAAGTATGACCTGGACGTGTGCCTGGCTCACAAGTCATACTTAAACAACAGTGATTCCACATCAGACTGGAGAGGGATACCAAGCAGAGCTATTCTTCAATCTTTTTTATTAAAACTTGGAGGAAAAGGTGGAGGGGACACTTATCAGGTGTGTAAGTGTCTCAAAATTGTGTGGGATAGCTATACAAAATGAAATGTAGCTGAGATTCTTCATCCAGGTAACAAAATCAAATGCATGGGATGTGGGGGTGTTCTCGGATAATGGTAATACTACTTGTGAAAAAGATCTGGGAAACTGAGTATAAACCAGCACTGTAATGTGGTGCACAAAAGGTGAACAGAGTTTTAAGCTGCATCAACAGAATATAGTATATATACTTAGGTAAATCACAGAAAGTAATAGTACTTGTGAATAGGTTTTTTCAATAGTAGTTGACTTCAAACTGAATATGAGCCAGCAGTATGGTGTGACTGCTAAAAGGTAAATGCAGTTTTAGGCTACATCAACGGAACTGTGGTTTCCAGATTCCCGAGAAGTAATTGTTCTTGAATCTGGTTTGGTGAGATCCCATCTTGAGAACTGTACTCGGTTCTAGGCACCATACTTTTAAAAGATGCAGAAAAACTGGAAGAGGCCCAAGAGAAAAGAAATGACAGCAGGACAGAGTCACCCACTTCCCCTTGGGTGTTCCAGTCTTCACCAGCGATGCTTCTCTGTGCTTCTGGCCCCCTTGCAGGCCGCCTGCCTCCAGAGAGAGGTTCCCAGCCCTTCCTGCCCTGTTCTTTGCAGGCTCACGCAAAGAGAGCTGGGCCCACCACCCAACTGGGGACCATCTGGCCTCAGCAGCTTCCAGTGTTCCCGTTGCTTAAAGTCATGACTGCGGGCCAGCTGCAAGGTCTTCATGGTGGCTGATCCAGGTTTATTTGCTTGCTGAATGGGCATCCTGTCTTCCGCCAGAAATTCCAGCAGCTTCCTTGTCTGCCTGCCCATCTCTTTCCCTCTGCCTATTAGAATCATTTGCACAGCGCCTCCCTCCTAGACTGGAGGCAGCTCACAACGTGATCAACACACAAAATACAATAACCTGAAATACCATCTCAGTGAACGCTGGTTGCAGTGGGGCAATGGGGCTGCTTCAGAGAAGGGGGCACATCACCACCTCCATCGCGGCTCCCCCCTCTCTTTCCAACAGCCCTTTGCCCCATCTTGCATCCAGCCTCTGAGAGAAGCCAGGAGGGGCAAAGATGTGGCAAGCTCTTCCTGCAGAGAACCCTCCCTATTTCTTTTGGATCCCCAGATCCAGATGCCCTCAATCCACAGATCCCGGATGACCTCACAAGATTCTCATCTTGTCCTCTCAGTCCCCCGACTGCTTAGTCAAATGGCGGCAGTGGTGGCTGAAGGCCGTTCTTTCAACTGCCGTTCCCCCACAGGGAGCAGCCTCCCCGCAGTCCCCAGGATGTTGGAGCCGACTCCTGCTGGACCCGCGTTCCCCAAGACGCCCCTTGCCTAGGTGTGGAAGCAGGTGATGGCTCAGTGCCCGGGTTTTTGGGGAGAAACCTGCCTGCCCAGATTGGCAAACCACAAGGATGGACGGTCGCTTTCGGAGCCTCCGTTAGGCTTGCATTAGAGGCCTCCAAGGGGGTTTCTAAGCGGATTAGGCTCCTTGTCTCTGCAAATGGACTATCAAAAGAAACTCTTGTTCAACTCTGTTTTCTCTGAAGCCTGTTGCTTCCCTTCCCTTCCTCCCAGCAGGCAGAAACAGAGGTGGGCTTGCATGGTCCTTTGGTGGCTCTTTCCTGCCCCCGCCCCCCCCATTCTGCTTCTGAATTCTTCAGTGAATGAGAGGGGTTGGTTTGAGCAGCCCTTGCGCAATGGCGCAGGAGAAGGCTGGGCCTGGTCCAGGTCTTTTACCTCGGTGCTGCGCCATTCGCTGTTGCTCTGCCTTTTGGAAGGCTGAATGAATCCACCAGCTGGGGCTGGTCCTGCTGTGGTTCGCCCAGATGTTGGCCTTTTCCCTCCTTCCAAGGCTTTTCTCCCCCACGCACAGCATGTCTCCGTTATCGTCCAGGAGGGTTTGTTTTCTCGCCTGAAGAAGCTGCTTGGGGAACAACAGAGAGGGCTGGGTTGCCAGGCGCTCTTTCTCCTGCTCCCTGGGACGCGGTTGCTTTGTGGCTGAGCAGCAGGTAGCCGTGGCCGGCAAGGTCGCTGTTTCCTCCGGCCCCTTTGTGCTCGCTCTCGCTCAGGCTGCCTATTTGTCCAGCAGTGAGAAAGGTCAGAGGCCCGCCGAGGCACCATACCTGAGCCTTTGTCCCTGGAACTGGCACAGCCCTGCAGAAATAATTGGCTGTAAAGCAGTTGCTGGGCGAGGGCGCAGGGGACAAAAGAGAAGAGTTTGGTGGAAACATCTGCATGGAAACAGAGAGGAGAGATATCTGGGGGATGCGTTCCTGCAGGAAAGGGGGGGTTCTCTCCCCAGTTCCCAGGCTGCTCAGCTGGGTTGGGATCGTGCACCGGAGCAGGAAAGGCCCTCTCCTGGCCAAGGCAGGCCTGTATGAAGGACCTGTCAGAGACAAACTGCCCCTGCTTGTTTTTTCTGTAGATCCCATCTGGGGGAGGGCCTATTCAAAGGGTGGTGGATGTTGCCCAGCACCACGTGTTTTGCTAGGCGGGTCAGGACATGGCCTTGCCTTCCCACCTGTGGATTCCGGACTGCCTATTCTGGAGGGAGAGTTTGTGCGGAGCCTCCAACCCAATTTTCTGCTTTGGAGTTGAATTCCCTGGCAGAAGGCCCAGGCCACGGCCTCATGCTGTATTGGCTAAGCTGGGCCAGGCGAAGCTGCGCGATGGTGTGTGGAGCAGGGAAGGGCTCAGAGCCCATGAGGTGGGCTGCAAGAACTGGGGTCCACTGAGATCAGAGCCTCCTCAGAAGCGAGGCTTTAAAGCCCTCCAATGTGTCCGTGGGCTACATCCTGCCCATGCTGAAGCGATGAATAAATGGCGGCTCTCAGATTTCTGCTGGCAAAGACGGACCTCCTCTTGGAACTCCTCGCCACCTCACTTCTTACCATGAATCTGGAGTCCTCCACACCACTGAGAATTTACCAGTTCTTATGAAGAACTTCACAGCCGTTGGTCCAAAGGCAAACCTGTGCTTCTTCCCAACCCCCAGTTGGGAGAATTGATCATCTACACCTCTCTTCTGTTTCCAGCAGTAGATGTGGCCTTTAGCTCCTGGCCAAAAAGTTAACTCAGGAGATCTCAAAGAGCTTCTTGGTCTTCTGACCAAGACAGAGGTAATTCCATTCAAAATTCAGGGTAGACAGGCTGTGTGACTCTGGAGCCCCTCACACTTCCCAGGCTCTGCAGACCCAAGGAGACCCTTGCTTCTCTCCCCAGGATTAGTGCAAACGTCTTCCTGAGGTAAGATACCCCAGACCCGGGGAGAAGGTTGGATCCTCCCTGGCCCATCCTCTTTCTGGCCCCCACAGTACCAGGCCACAGACATCACCCCTCGGTCAGAGGCGTGTGGTGCTCAGGGGCACCTCACAGCTTCAGTTTTCCCTTCCAGGGCAGAGCTCTGCCTCTGACCATGGGAGCGGGGAAGATCCCTTTCCTGGGAGACGGAGCAACCTAAATCTACAGGGTCTTCTGGCTCAGTTCTCCTGACGTGCTTGTTGCTTCTCTCCGTGAATTCTGCAAGTTTTTCGTAGCACCTAGAGGTGGGAGGGGCAAAAGGCCTTGAGTCTGGCACCCTGCACAGGGCCGGAGTCCAGTTAAGGCAGCTGTGGCATAAGAAAGGTTCAGGCAGGTCTCCAGCCAGATCTTTCACTATTGATTGAAAAATTATTCCTGTTTTAAGTAGTTAACTTAAAAGTCACAATTTTTGGGACTCCTTTCAGCACAGGCTAACGAACCTGTGCTGCATCTGAGCCCAGGAGGCGCTGCCTGGAGGAAGAGCATCCCCAGCACGGGGCCGCTTCATCCAGGCGGCCTCCCCAGTGAGCGAGCCTTTCCAAGACTGTCACCAGGGAGCTGCCAGGACATACCTTCTCGGGTTCTTGCCCATCTCTTGGTGGGTCTTGCCTTCGCAGCCTCTTTCCCAAGAGCTGCACCGGCCCTGAGGCGGTTGGCGGGCCGAAGAATCTTCTCGCCCTGCAGGGCGACAGGGAGGTCAGGCAGAGGCAGAGGAGCGTGGGGGAGCAGGACCGTGGACAGCTCCAACCAGGCTGCCTGGACTAAGCTTCTTCCCTACCAGGGGACCAAAAGAGGATGAGCTGTGTTCACACATGACACAAAACCAGGATTAGTCAGTCAGGGTTTCTTGAACCAGCCATAGGGGCCAGGTCTGCACATCAGGCTGAGCCACAAGTTTGTGGTGCTTGGCGCACTAAGCCCAAGGCAGCTCTGGGCGTGAATCAGGCAGTCTGTGCAAACTCTGTGTCAGGCAGGCAGCTGTGATCTCTGGTGGAGATGCTCCATGGAAGCAACCAGCAAACTGAATGGGCCCGGAGCACTCTGGGGAGGCAGGAAGAGCAGCTGCAGAGGGCTCTCCTGCCCTGTCCCAGCCATGGGAGTCCTGGCTCTCCCCCATGGGCCACCGAGTCCGAGGCTGGAGGTTGTAACAGCCTATTCATGGGAGTAGGACAGGGTCTCTGCCTCTCCAGCCAGCACAGAGATTGGCACAGAGCGCCCTCCCAGCAGGAGGGAATTCAAGGCCGCAGAGTGGCAGCAGGTACCTTTCAGGCCCCCACGCAGGGGAGCGCCCCTCCTGCTGCTTGGAATTTGTCCGCGCGAGACAAGCAGCCTGCTCTGCTGATCTGACACCTCTGAGGGGATAACTCAATTACAGCTCTGTGCTCCCTGCCCTTAACCTTTCCTGGGGAACTTGCAAAATTTGTGTCCCTGTCTGCCCTTTGGCCTCCTTCCCAGATGCTCCCCCCAGCTCCGCTCAGAGCCCAGAATCTCCGGACGTCTCTGCAGGGATTCAGCGTTATGTTGAATTCCAAGCCATAAAAACATTGACGGGTGATTTTGAACGCAGAATCCAAGGAGAGGTTCATCTCCAGAATTCAGCCAGGAGGTTTTAGTATGTATCATCCCAAAAACATTTTGCTCTGAAATGCTATTTTGGCTCATTTGGAACTTCGTTTCTATCCTGCCATTGGGCTACGAAAGATCCCTGAAAGCTGCCGAAACGTGAAAACAATAAACCTCGTTAAGTTGGGGATGAGCGCTTTGCCCTCGTTTGAAGCCCATCTTCTGGGAGACCGGCCTCCCATCTTGTCAGAGCTAAGCTACAGTGCACTAGCCAGGGTTAAAGGTAGCCAGGCCCAGCAGGTCTTGTGCATAAATGGCTGGTTAAGCAGCATGTGAAAGCAATTCCCAGGGCAGTAAATTCGTGGGAAGCAACTCTTGTTCACATAAAAAGGGCTTTGGACAAGCCGTTCCCTAGGGGGCTGGTTCCCCAGCTCCTCTGGCACCCCAGCCTAAGTCCCGGAGGACCACCCACGGCCAGCCAACAGCCCCCAGGAAATGGCTTCTTTTAAAGAGGGCTCGTGCCCATAGAAAAACAGCTCTTAAAATATGGTTGCCAAAAGAGAAAACAAAACCCCCTTCTTAAAAGAAAAGCACCCTACCCAGCAGGTTTTGGAAAGAGTAGGGCTGAAACATCATGAGGGTTTTCTGGCCTGTCTCAGTGGGAACTGCTCTCCCTGCAAGGGAACTGCAAGACAGACATGCTGATTGGGGGGGGGGGCGCTAATCCCTCCCCCTCTGACCCTGCCAGACTTGCTGAGGGCTTGAGCCTGTCCAGGAAAGGCCTCGGCAGAGAGCGAGGCACCAGCAGCTCTGCCCTCCAAGGTAGGCCAGGTCAGGAAACAGGCACCCTAAGAACTACTGGAACTCAGTTTTATTGTTGCAGAGGATAAAAACAGAATCTTGAAAGCCTGAAAGTTTCTCTCTCCCTCCCTTTCATACCTAAGAGAATCAGGGTGGGGCCCTCTTGAGTTCCTTCCTCACCCTTCCTGTCTTGCTGGGCTAAGCTGATGCTTTCTTAAGGGCTGCCACATGTTTTCTTGAGGCTATCTGTGTGCTCCTCTGCAGGGGGAGCCTCTCAGCACTCCCCAGCCAGTCTGGCCCTCCTGGAGCCATCGGCGCTGCCCCTCTCTCTAGCTGGGAGCACCCATCCTGCCTCTCATGCTCACCGTCCTCGGGAGGGAGGAGCGTCACAGGGAAGATCCCCCTGCTTGGCGGCTGAGAAACCTGAGAAAGACGCAGGATCTGCCTTGCTCAGAAGTAACTGAATGCAGAGCTGGCGGGGGGGGGGGGGGCACGGGAATGGAATGTTTTTTCAAAGAGTGAACGTATAAACCTTTTTCCAACACTCCGTCACCGGGTTCACACAACAGGCCAAAGCACAAGAAATTACAGGATGGAAAGTCTGGTCCTGTGTTGTGCAACGCAGCCGTATTCTTCAGAGGTCTCCAAAGGAGCATATGGCCTGGTGAGCAAGACCCCCCCCCGAAATTGTGCATTAGCCTGGCTCCTCCGTCCCCGGAGCTTCGGGGCCTCAGGGGCCAGAGAGCGTCATCGCCTGGAAGGAGGAGAGAACTGGCATCGCTGGGAAGGGGCCAGCAAACAGCCGCAGGGTGGATGGGGGGTGCGATGGTTGGCCGCCTCTCCCAGTCCCCCTTGGGGGGGGTCAGAGGACCCCTCCTTAGACCGGTGTCCCTCCTTAGTCCGGTGTCCCTCGTTCCAGCCCATGCCAGATGGACGCTCTGTCCCCTCTGCTCAGCCAGGAGCCAGGGTGGCCATGCAGCCAAAGCAGCGGCCAGCCCTGGGCCCAGCCAGGCAGAGGGGCCCTCCAGTTTCTGGGGCCAGGTCCCAGCTGACCAGGCCAGTGAGGATGGGGGGCAATGCGGAGATCAAACAATACCCCAGACAAGATTTCACCTGCAGGCACAGCGCTGGGGAGAGACCCACAGCTTGTCCCGCTCAGAAGCAAATGCTTCTCCCCTAAAGCAGGGGCAAACTGCAGGGGGCCTCTGGGCGTCGGCTGCTGGCAGCTTGCAGAGACTGACCGACCACCTCCCGTTCCCACCGGCCTTGCAAGCTTCTTACCCTCATGAGTTTCAACGCAGTCACAGGCCCAATTAACTCGCCAGGCGGCACCCACCCTCCAGGTTTTCAGCGCCTCGCGTGAGTGCCGGCGGGGCGGGGGGGGTGGGGCCCGTCTGCGGTATTCCAAGTTATGGGGGGACCGCCG